AAGCTGTTTTTGCATAAATAAGGTCTTAATTTTCGTAACAATTGATTTGAGCCTTCTCTCCATGTTTAGTTTTATGAATTTCAGGTACACTATATGAGTGAAGATATTTAATTACATTAAAGCTCCAGATAATTAAATTCGTGTTTAGCAGTTCAACTAAGTTTGAGTAGACGATAAATATCCATCATCCTCTATTACCATATACATCATTGAAACAGGACAGAAGATTGATCTTAACTTGACTTTTGTGGTGTTGTATTAAAGTTTATTGAAGTCCCTTTATGCAAAAACAGCTTGTTTTCACCCCTAATTTACTCTAATTTGGTAATATTAGTTTATTATTCAGGATGATGAGTTCCGCGTTGTTTTTCATATTATTATTCTTGATCATTATCTTTGTTTCCGCTTACCTTCCATTATCTAGTTAACCTTGGATTTTCTTCTCATATATGAACATTCTTAACAAGTGTATATGTAATTAGATTGTTTGAAATGTGTTGCGTTGATAAATCACATAGTTTTGTTAATCTTTGTCTTCAGTCAGTCAGCAACAACATAGAACTTCAAGCTGTCATATCACATTAGCACAGAGATACAATTGTCCATTCAAATCCCATAGTGGTAGAGGTAGTAAAAGTATAAGCAGTAATCGAAAAAATTAGGATTTGGAGATGTTATTCAAGGAGTATAATCCAGTGAAATAAATTTGGAAAGAGAAAAAACAAAGGGACATGAAGAATTCAGAAGATTAGAGTTTAGGAGAACACAAAGAGTGGATGCACCTGCGCCATTGCAAACGATTCTCAGCCATGTCATTCAACGTCTCTAACCATCGGTTGCTGTAATCTCGCAGATCCCAACCAGGTAGTCTACATCTACCAACATGAATCAGTCCGCTTGTCAATGACTTCATTTATTTGCGTCATGTTTTGGTCTGGCCACCCCTAGCTATTGCACTATCCAGATTTATCAAAAGGACTAACTTTCTTAAAAAAAATTTATAATTTCAGTAAAGTTGTAATTGTAATCATATATGACAAGTATATGCTTATCAGGGTTTATTATAAACGCATTGATTAATATTTATCCTCTCGTAACATGATAAATTATCACTCGTGTGAATGGTATTAAACGCAGGCTTATTTCATAACTCTTGTCTAAGACATTGTAATAAATGTACGAGTTCGTTTTTTATGTTTATCTACATGGGAGGTACTGATATTACATAGCAAATTAAAACTGGCTTAAAGGGAAGAATTTCCCACTTCGTACTAGTAGCTTTTAAAGTATTCGTTCATAGAAATATTATGAATAATACTGTGAGTATTTTGTCTATACTATTAAACAACAATGTACTAGTAATACTTTACGTGATTAACTTTCTTAACATTTCTGTAATATTAGATGGGATAAACCACATTTACTATACGGAAATCTCTTAGATTGGGTACGGTATTTGGTCGCATGGCAACCTGTGATTCTGGGTGTAGTTCACGTGCTTAACTCTATTTTAGGTCTACAATAAGCAGTATCAATTCTTACAAGATTCGTGATCTCAGATGTTCTTCCTTCTTACAATCGAGACTTGTAAATCATATGTTTTTGTTGTGTGAATAGAATATGAAATAAAAGTTTTTTTTCTTAAAGTCATCTAATGGTGTTAATTAGTGGGTTGCAGAAGAAAAAAAACAGTCCACACCTATAGTTAGCGGTACGTAGTTGACATTCGTTCGAGTAAATTTTTGCGAACAATGGTGCGTAATTCGTTTTAACTTCTTTCATCAATACCCTATTGCTCAGGGCGTGATCAATAAAAAGCAGTTGTACGTATAATCGAACTGTCTAGATACTAGAAATTGACTAAATCTCTACCTTTGGAGCTAAGGTCAAACCATAAATGTAAAATTTTCTCTAAACAAGAAATTAATACTGTATATTATCGAAAAGTAAACCAATATGTGTGTTCGTACAGTCTAATAAACAGATTTGGAAGGGACTTTAACGTGTCTTCAAAAATTGTCCAATACGAGTGTGTGACTGGTCAACTCCTACTTTCGTTTAGAATACAGGTAGCATTACACATACCGAACATAATGCTATGAATACGGTAAGTCATCTAAATGTACGATGTTCAGACAATGGTTGTTTAGTACGCAAAACTTTACATCCACTTGTTGATTTAGTGTGTTGACTTTGAAATAAGCTTTTATGGAGATTTTTCATCGGGAAATCAACTTAAGTTTAGTTATATTGCATCAGACGAACTTTTGGAAATTGCCGAACTGATAAACAACTTTCAACCAACCTAGTACTTGACAGCCGGTCACGAGTAAACAAAATATCACCTGCTGTTTCCCGACCTGACTTTTTCGATTGTAAGGTGAATGCGGCTACGTTATTTATTACCATTGTATTTTCACTAGTAAACAAATACATTTAACCGATCTGATAAGGAAAATTGCGACCAAAAAGTGGTTAGTTTATTTAGGTCCGTGTATATTGGATAAAATACTCTTCAGCACAGTTTCTTCTACATAATTACTTCGGTGCAATGACGTTTTCCTATCGTTAAGGGTCGTTATTATCAATGATATGCATACCATATCCAATACAACCTCGACGAGTAATTAGTGATCATATCGCAGATATATGCTCCTATTAATTAACTAGGCGTTAGTTGTGTGCAATTCACCCAGGTTACTATCGTGTATAGATTTCTTGACAAAGTGTTATTGAAACTCATAAAAGAAAGGTGACATTAATCGAAATAACCCATTGTATCATTGAATAAAAATAAAGAGAATTCGGCAAAGAAAATTCCCTTTTTGACAAAATCATTTACTGGAGCTGTACATTCGTATTTATAGTTATATATGTCTATAGAAGGATAGAAACGATTGCATCAGAAAGTGATTCGAAACTAAGTATCAGATGGGGTTGCATAATAATCATAGGGTTAGAGAAAAGTAGAAGTATGGAAATAATTTACGGGTCAGATAATTGTCCAAATGACAGATATAAAAAAACCAACAAACATAAAGGTAATGAGAAAACAATCCGGAGCTTAGCTAAGTAGAATGTTTTATTCAACGATTTTGAAATCCGTCTATTCAAGACTTCAGCAATCGTATCTCCTTTAACTTCTATATTCATTAAAAAAAATTTTTTGTGCTGTCGGTGCTTCTTCCAAATGGTGTCTGAATGTTAATTTATTATCGACGGATATAGATGGATAACCATTCCTAATGAGAGTCTGTCAAACTTGAATTAGTTCCTCAGGACACTTGGCATTATTTGGTTAAGTTTGTGAATACAATTTTAAGATAATTTATTTACCATATTGGTTGATGATTTTCAACTAGAACCTGGATTACAGAGAGTTGCATAGATTACAGATAAGATTTATGATAGGCTATCAGTATACATAGTGAAATGTCTGCGTTGTACATCCTGGTTATAGATATTACTTCAGATGATATTACTATGACATGAGAACTATCTTTAGAAATATGAAACTTTTTAAAAAGAACCCTGTTAAATGGAAGTTCATAATGAGTCTACATTAGGTCTAAAAAAACAATAACAAGTCAGAATAATTTTTAATACGATAACCGTCTACTACAGCTATGCTTAGACAGCTGTTTATTCACCTCAACGATCAAAAGGCCGAGTATATTTCAGAAAAACAGCACTTAGTCTAACACAAAACTAGTGCTCATCCCAAAATAGCTTGACATGATATTTAAACAGTTGTAAAAATAGCAGTGATATCTCTCAGTGACTTAAATCGAAAAGTTATGAACGACCAATGTATTTCGCGAATTTCTACTATGTTGTCAGCTACTCGAATATATCTAAGGATGCTTGGATAATGATAAGAAGTGAAAACTTAAACATAAATTGACAAAATATCTGTACTATGACTGCGCGCATTAGTTGGGGATGGAAGCAAGAGAGATAAATAAGACAGACCACAGGTCACACAAGACAGTTGTTCTAATTCATCGGATATGTCAGGTATTGATAAGTCAGCTGTTAGTGGAACTATTCGGGGTAAACACAAAGTTATGACCCGATCTCAGTCTAGAAAACTGGAACAATGGAAAAAAACATTTCAAGAAACCTCAGCTGGCTTCCAGCTAATCTTCGATTACTTCCTATTCCCCTCCAACCTGAATGGAAACTCTACACAAGACCACAAACTGTTGGCTAGGTTAAAAATGCGTTGCCTAATTTAAAGCGACGGGGGGAAGCAGAACTTGGAAGGTAAACTCCAGAGGTTTTTAAGCATGTTGATTATGATATATTCTGTTATTTAGTAATATTTTCATGAAATTTTGATTAATGTGAAAAATGTTTTGATCTACGTGAAAGCATTCTCTGATGATTTCATAGACCCAGAAAATTTACAGATTTAACCAGTAAACGTCGTATATCCGATTATTTAAGCATGTAAACATTAGTACAAGGAGGCAACAAATAGATATGCGCCACATTCGATTTGTACGAGGGCCACAATACTGCCCGGGTGCCCAAACCGAAGCAGGTATTTTCTTTAGGGGGGCCATACTTGGAGCCCTCGACCTAAAGGTTTGATCCACAAGGCAGTAGAGCAACGTACGGAGATGTAGTCCCATGGTAGCCGGTAACCAACAATTGGTTCATACGCCATTTATTTCTTCAAGATTGTGGAACCCATATGCACCATTGATTTGGCATTAGGGTTTTCCAACTCCTCTAAGTGAACCCTCCATATCCACCAACCCGGTTAAAGCACTGGACATTCTCTTTTCGTCCTCTTGATTTCGTGAACAACACTCTCACCGTGAAAAAGTAGCGAGTAGGACTTTCACGTAATCCCGGCTCAATGATTATATATTGACATAAATACGAATGTATAGATTAACTGAATGTTTTCGTCGAGAAGAGAAAATTTTTCTTCGCTGAATTCTCTTCATTTTCTATTCAATAATATCCATCATAATAAAGATGCTAAAATCTCAGCAACAAAAAATATTTATATTTTGTACAAAATAATTGTTTCCATTTATAGAAGGAGTTAGTTTTCACAATTCATAGAAGGAACAGGATCAACAGAACATGATTGTTGAAATTTATCTAGATTTAAACAAAATAAACAAACATATCAGTATGATGATGATAAAAAAATACTACTATTTGAAGTTTTATGTTAGAGATATTGCTAGTAAATGGTATAACTCCGCCTGAAGCCCCTCTAGGATTAGTGCCGGTTCTCAAGTCCGGTTAAAGGAGGAGGGTTGGGCATGCAGTAAGCGACCCCATCCCGTAGAAAACTAACTCGTTAAAAAAACGTTAACCAGAAAAAAATTAAGTGGTATGAACTCTGGAACAAAGCAAACGTGCAACTAAGATCACCATTTGAAGCAGTAAACTTGAAATCTACAGCTTAACGTACGCTAAGAAAATTGTGATTGAGATCATGAACCGATTGATATTGAACAATGGAAGATGGTCGCGCGATTTCGTGGATTGGTTGAAATTAGACATTAACACCGTTGAATGCCGGCCCAATGGTCTAATCGTTAAGTATTTGCGCGCGAGAGTGAAGGCCCTGGGTTCGAATCCAGCGAGCGGTATCGTGGTTGCGCACTGATGAGGATTCCCACGAAAGGATGAGACGGCTGTCAAGTGCTTCCAGGTTTTCAGTGGTGGTCTAGCATCAATCGGTTTATGATCTCAATCAAAAACATAATAATCTTCACAACCACATACTGATGAGGAAAGTTGTTATAACATGATTTCAGACGTTTCACACGCCCTGCTTTTAGTAGAGTCTAATCTCCGTTACTCTTGTATGTGATGTTGTTTGTTTTTCATACTACACTTCAAAATTATGATTTTCAAATTTAAGGTTGACGATTTAGTTATCAACTTGGAAACAGAACTCACACATTTTGTGGTGGGTTTTCTATTACAGAGGGGTAAAAACACACTTTAATATTCAGTGAAACGCTAGTACTGAGGCCTCCGAGTTTTCCGAATGCCCTGGTACGGCTGAGGGAGGAGAGTGTCTGCTCCTTCTTGAAATGCCCACATGTGGCAACGCATATATAGAAAACCACTGAAATGGGAGTCCTACTCACTACCTTCTCATGGAGTTGTTGTTTACGAGATTAAGAGGAAGAAAAGAGAATATCTAATACTTAAACCGGGTTGGTGGATATGGAGCGTACACCTAAGGGAGTTGGAATACTCTGATTCCAAACTAACGGTTCACATGAACTTCAGGATCCTGAGAGATCGAATGCTGATTGTTGGTCCCTGGGTGTCATGAAACTGCACCTCTTAACATCGCTTCACTAACTTGCGGATCAGATCCCTGGGTTAGAGGCTGAGTGATGGTCCCCTAAGAAAACCTCCTATTTTGGTTTAGACACTTGAGCAGTATTCCAGCCCACACATAAATTCAATGATTTGTGTGGTGCATATACATTTTGGTGTGTATTTATACCAATATTTATATGTTTAAATAAGTAAACAAAAATTTCCAAATAGGTAGGCACAACTGAACATCACACCGGTTGTCCTATTTGTTACATTTGAATATAATAAAACTAAGGAGTGATTACTGATAAAGACATCAATTTCTAAACTACAGTCCAGGCACACCGTCTTACATTCTCAACTCTAGTATGTGCTTTATCACTTAGTGTCATGTATTATATTTGCCTTACTCTTGATTTATTATTTATTCAACAACGTACAACCAAGTAGAAGAAGAAACAAGCAGTTGAAAAATGTGAATTCATAAGGAAATTTGGCAAGGGATTAAGATGTTTCTATATATGAGATTGAAATATCTCAAAGAAACAATCTCTAAATAAGCAGAAAATCTATCCGACCATGAGATTACACATATTACAACTAATTAAAATCTATGTGTATTATAGAAGGAAGCTTGTTGACGATAAATTCCATATTAAAATTTTCAGATAACAACACAGTAGTACTGTAGAATAGCTTCGATCATTATTTTATTTTAAAACACAGATATTGGTACAAGGAGGCACCAAATACATATGCACCACACAAATCTCATTCGATATGTGTGAGGGATGTGATATTGCCCGGGTGCCCGAACCGGAACAGGTGGTTATCTTAGGGGGACACTCTCCGAGCCTTTAACCTGAAGGTCTGATCCACAAGGCAGTAGAGCAAAGTACGGAGATGCAGTCCGATGGTAGCCGGTGACCAACAATTGGTTCGTACGCCATTTGTTCCCTCAGGATACTGGAGCCCATGTGCACCATTAATTTGGTTTGGGATCCGGTTAAAGCGCCGGACATTTGCTTTTCGTTCTCTCATTTTCGTAAACAACACCCCCGCCACGAGAAGGCAATGAGTGGGACTTCCCTGGCAGAGGCTATATACGCGTGGCCGTGTGAGAGTATTTCGAGAGGGAGAACGGACTCTCCCCACTCTCGGTCGTACCAAGGCATTTGGGGGCGCTTCGATTAACGTAAAACAATGGATTATAACAAATATGAGAGTAAATAAGTGGCATAATATGAAATCTCATAACTTGATAGACAATCTCCTCAGAATGAACTTTTTTAAGATTAAGCGCTTTGTTATCATTTAAAATTTTGATTAGTTAACTGAAACCTACTTTGAATAGATGTGAGATCTTTTGATTCTAAAAATTCATCATCATCATCGTTATCATCTGAATCACTGTGTGGACGAATTTCTATACCATCAACATCAGGTAGCGGATCATTTTCAGCTTCGTCATCATTACCAGCCAAATCCAAAAGCATTGATCCATGTTTGGATGAATGACACTTACTAGATTTATCTGAATGCAAAACAAACATAAAAATCCGATAAGTTATAACTCAAAAACAATTTTGTTAAATAGATTTGAAATATTAATAATTGAAGCAGGGTACTAGTATTCACAACTGATTGATCACTGGGTGGTGACCAATCTCATGTGTGTCAAGTCCTTATTAGTGCAGATCGAATGTTATCAACCAAGTTGCAATGTAGCCACTAGTTTAGGTGACTCAACATTGCGTGCACTATGTTGAGATAAGATGGTGGTTGGAGGTAGTCAACAGGAAACCCTGGACCCGGGTTTAGTGCTATTTGTCACTCGTCGGTCAGCAAGGTGTACCTGTAATCTTGAGGGGACTGGAACGGATTCGTCCCCGTGTCACCCAGCTTCACAGTCAGAGGGGTTACTACTAGGCTATTCGGGCCGCAACCGACCTCCTGTAGGACTGAGATGCATTCACAATTGATTGATCACTGGGTGGTGATCAATGTCATGTGTGTCAAGTCCTTATTAGTCCAAATCGAATGGCAGTTCCATAATAAGGAGTGAATAGTCTTACACACTAACTTAGTGATACAACCCTCAAGAAAAATGGATAATATTGATTAGATTTTATAGATCTTTATCACATTATTTGAATAGTACAACTATAACGTCAATTTAGATCCCTAAGTTACGGTGTCGAATCATGTTTCACTGGAATTGATTAGTACGTTGAGTCGCGTGTTCAAATCTTATACGGTATGTATAGTCCACAGTTTACTGCATAAGATATATATATAATACTAACTTACCACTTGAATCTTGCTTGTTTTTTCTTGTTTAGCATACAAACTCGGAAGATTTATCTGTGAATGAATACAAGATAATAAGACCTATGATGTAGTGACAAACTCTTGAAAATTATGATGCCTAGCTGTGATGCATATAAAAAAAATAACCATTTTCAGCATACACTAGCAAGTTAGATTTTAGATACCAAAACAACTCAAACCTTATCATCTCCGACAGGCACAAAAGCCGTCTCATCACAGTTATAAACTGTTTGTTTTGTCGTTTCCATAGAAAAGTGAATAGAGGTTTTGGAAGAGTAATAAGGAAGACTACAATATAGTACACAACGAACACTATGGAATTCGGGTGAAAATACGAACACACAAGAAAAATGCTGCATAAAATCCAAGAGGTTCTATTACTAATATATTCAGAATAGTGGGATATCAATTTTGCTATCTTCAGAATATAAATAAGTAAATGCAAAGAAGACTACTGCAATGACACTTCATTCAAACAGAAACAAATACCAACTTAGAACCTGGGACAGATGTGAATTGGCCCAACTTGGCATATCACATTAGCACTATGGAGTGAAAATAACAATATGAATAGAAGAGATTGAAACAATGTAGCATCAATGATCCATCAAATAACAATAATCTTTGTCAGAAAAACTAGAATTTGAAGCCAACGGTAGATGATCTTGAGCGGATCAAATAAAAGCTGCAATATTTTAAATAACATCACGTAAGCAAATGATTTCCCTCTATATCCGTTGAAAGTTAGTGAATCATGATGCGAGCAATAAAGGTTGATGCAATAAGTGTAGTGATCAATGCACCTAACTAATTTATCTCTTATGGATCAAATGTTGGTGACGACACAGACCAGTCTTGAATCAACAATTTTGCATTTAAATGGAGAGAAAAGCATTAAAATCATACTTGCGTCGCTATTCAAGGCATACAAGAGATTTTGCATTATGGTAACGTTTTCATTAAAAAATACTATGTTAGCTCTGTACTCCAGGTGGATTAGTGAGTTTAGAGGAGAGAGATCAATTCCTGAAAAAAATATATGAATAAGGTTTTAGTTCTGGAAGGAAATTTACGACAAAATTAAGTGAATAGGAAAATAGTGGATAATACTGACGAACACCGTTTGAGGTTGGCGATTCCGATGATAGTTTGCTATAGGCGCTGACTCGATCAAGTGTTTAGTTAGAAAGCAATTAAAAAGTCTAGGTATTTTTTTAGTTACAAATTTTAATAATGAACACAGATGAAATCATACATTCGACGAAGTCGAATGTAATCTTAAGATCAACGGATATAATTATAGTCTGGAGTTGGGAAGTAGGATTGAAAATTCGATTGATACATTTACGCTCAGGCCGAAAAACAGACTAGTCTCCAGAAGCATGTGATTACAGAGACTCAGAAAAGCGTCGGATGGTTATCAAGCGTAATACTGTAGATGATCTATTAGTAAAACTGATTGATCTGTGGTTACCATGAAATAATTTCTATTATCTCTCGTGGACTGGGACAATCCGTGGTTGAGTTCAATCCAGTTAGATTGTGTCCGGCTCCCAAACTCTAGCTAGTATCCCAGACAGTTTAGCTGCTGAGAATGGACCAACATCCTTAAAAACTCCTGGAGTTTACCTACCAAGATGGGTCAAATGAATGGCCACACTGAGATTCTATATCTAAGCTTGGGAGATACCGTATTTGTCAGTGGCGCGAGATTCCAGATTTCAAGCTTATGAAGCCTGTTTGATTTAACATGGGGCTCGCACACTGAAAGCTCGGATATGTAGTTTTGAGACCAAGAAGAGGATTTCGTGGGTTTGGATCGTCAGAACTGGTGTCGCACAGAAAAAAGATGAAGTTGCAGAAGGGATGATAGTAAGGAAAGGAAAAATACTACGAAACGAAGAGGGGATTAGATCGCGAACAAGGCGAGTTTGGGCGTTGTTATAAGCATTGCTGTCACTTCCCCGTTGCCCATATAACTAATTTGTGATAAAAAGGCAAAATTAAAGGTGCTCTCTTCCATTTTGAGACTTCGAGTAATGATAATAGATCAAAGCCTGTCCTCAACACTGATCAGTAGTCATTTTACAAAGTAACAGCGTGATAATACTTTGAAACATTTAATTATTACCTATAAACACAAAATTATTCATGTAAGAAACTATCACAAACCTTAAAGTATTCTTCTTTCGCTTCATCAATCTCTTCCACAAACTTTCTCATGCCTTCACCAGTTATCGACGAGATACCACAACAACGCAAAGTACTATAGAATTCATCTAACACTAATGACATAGAATGAACCAGACTATTCATGTATGGTGATGTCCCAGGACAAGGATTATCACCTTCCATTTCAGATGGTCCATCAGTTGATTGATGACCAGCTAGAGCATCTTGAAATGTTTCAAAGTCCCTCATCCATTGAATGGCGAAATCACAGTCTATAATGTCAGTCTTACAAAAAAAGTGAAAAAGGTGAAATGCAAAAAAAATTTTAGTCCCTTATTTATACCTCAGTTCGTACGAATATTTTACGGAAATAGCAATTACAACGGTAACCACTGGTGAACCCATAAAATACACAATCCCATTTACATTCGGAAATAGGGGTGGACAGAAATGTGACTTAATTACACTTGATTTTGTAGAGAGTGAACAGTATTTGATAGAACCACATTTCATAAGTATGGACACCCATCAACAAGACAAATAGGAACCTCCTACATCAAATACGTATTCACTTAGATACTTAAATCTGTATCGCTCAACGTTATAGTAAAAGATGTTACTGTTGAAATATATACAATTAACTTTCTACCAAATGCTTAATGTATTTGAGACTATCAAGTCCATCCTCGGCATTGATACATTTAAGTCCGTTGTTATTTCTCCATAGAACTAGTAGGTATATAAGGTTCTGAAGTATTTGCACAAGCAAGAAGGGTGAATTACTGGCTACATTATTCTCTTTCGAAAATATAACGATCAAATAGTTGAATGTTGTATTGTCATTCACGAGATTAACAATTATATTGGATTAAGTGATAAAATGATTCTCATTAGCTAAATCTAAGAATTAGACCAATGCCCTGGTTATCATCTGACAATAAACTATGCAATTTTTTATGCAATCTGAACCAGTCACACGACACTCTTATGTCTAAAATTAAGTGGCAAATACATCTATAAATGCTTAGTTCTGTTTTACTTAAATTTGCTTTATTGTTATATTAAGTAGGAGCAATTTTTAACATTGTCAGCTAAAGAGCACATAAATAATGACAGAAGACTTGTACATTCTATTTATCGTGCACTTCTGTTACGAAACAAGAAAGCATTTTTTCATCATGTTAGTTTCGATGAGGAGAACGGAGCATTTTCCCAAGTGAACGGACTAAATCTCCAACGATTCACTTCTGCATTTAGAAAGTGTTATAAAGAATTCTCTTACACTTCCTTTTCAGGAACTGATATACTACGGAAATTCGATATGTGTAGGACATAGACGACAGAGTTATTTTATTTGAAGATGAGGAAGCAATTTTCTGAGCGATACAAGATAACCAGTATTCGTACTGTTAGAAAGAAAAATGACTATTACGTATTTTTTGTAGTTCACCTAAATTACTCAATGCATGTTTACAGTGTTAGATCATTAGCAGTGAGTAATATCCCAATAAACTAGGTTTGCAGCTTTTTAGGAACTTATTTACTAGACTTTGATATGAACCTACCTAAGTGAGAGATGATGACATCATTCAAACATTTATACTAAAGGAGGAGGGAATTGGTCTTGAGTGTTGTTGGAGGTATGAGAGTGGTTACCACATCCTGATTACCCACATCGTAAAAGGGTTCTTCTATAAATACCAGAAAAGGAAATTCGGTTAGAGTTCATCTTAGTGATTTGAGAGCGTAACCGTAATGCTCAAGGAACAGCTGCTTGAGGCCGGTCACACACGACCATTTTGTAGGTAGTTTTTGTGTTAGCTTAGTATATATTGAGACCTTACCGCCGGAGACGGAAATCCGTGGGATAAGGTGGGGTGTGCATTTTTAAAATCGACCACTTCTAACCCCACCCCTCCTTTTTGAGAATACAGCATTGCTGCTATGCTGTTTGTCTGAAGGAAACACCTTACCGCCGTCATACATCTGTACAGTCAGCAGTACGACCTCGCCCTCGGACCTTGGGTTTGCTGCTTTTAGTCTTACCACTCTTCAACCGACTTGCTTGGCATGATAGAGCCTTGAGGAATGATCGTTCCAGCCAGTATAACCCGAATGGTTCAGCACGATAGGCAGGCCCGACCACCACATCAAGGTAGCAGCAACGATCGGGACTAAAATAAGGGAGGACAGTCTGAACAGATAGTATCATGATTAGTAATTGAGTGTTAAAACCACTGAACTATATCTCCAATTAACAGAACAGCCAAAGGAACATAAATAATAATCGAATTCATCGTTAACATTCATCAACTTATACCTTATGGAGTTGCATTGAGAACTCTATACAGAAAGTTGTGTTATATGTGCCCAATAGAATTGGAGAACATTAAGCTTTACGGCGCTAACATTATCTTATTGTCTAGTTAGATGCATCACTTGAATAAAATATTCAGTTTAAATGATTAGAAGCGAAGATAGAAGCTTTGCGAAGCATCTTATAGTTAACAAACAAAATCAAAGTAATATTTGATAAACAAAGAATCATAGTAATAGATACATAAGGTAGGTCAAATAAAGATTTAAAAAATCCAACAGCAATTATACAGTACTTACTTTATTGAGAACTAATATAAACGGAAGTCGCATTTTATACAACACACTGCAAGCATAGAGCATATTAGACATGAATGTGATAGGATTGTGGCTTCGTGGAGTATCCATTACGTATATAATTAGAGTAGGAAAAGAATTGCCCTAAATATAAACCTTTACTAACAAATATAAAATTCAACTTACTAATAGTTCTGTAATAATAGTTCCTGAAGCAGACCATGTGAACACTTCAATCTGTCCAGGTGTATCGATTATTACATAGGAAACCTTTCCGGAGTTGCTGTTAATTATATCCACAACTTTATGAAATTGTGAGGCGAAGAAATTCAACGATGTCATAATAGCTCCATTTGGTCCATAACCATATTGTTTCATAACCTCTTTAAACTTGACAGTATCGCGAATATCTTTAAACATTACCAGTAAACTGAGGCTTACCAATGTTAGGATTGTACGGAATATGATAAACTGCTGGGTCTAAATTAATTGTATACGACGAATTTGATGAAACTGTTAAATACTCAGTTAGCTTCTTCACAAATGTCGTTTTGCCTGAACCTGCCATACCAAGGACAATCAGGCAAATCGGTTTAGTCCGCAGATCTTGCTCAAGCTGATTCATAATTCTTGAGAGGATAATTAAAGTGAAAATAATAGGGTTAAGGAAGAATTAGCGATGCGATAATACTGTCAATGATGAAAACGGATTGATAATATCAGTAGACTGAACATCTCTACAGGCTAGTGTAAAAGGTATTCCGGTGAATTCAACTATGAACGATTTTAGTACAGTCTCCGATAAGGCATCTCAGATGCGTCTTAGAGTGGACCAGCGAGACTCCAGAGTTGACTGTTATGGATTGGACCAACCACTTTCCCAGTGACTGGAAACAACATGTGAAGGCGTTGATCGATAATTTCAAATGACCATATACAGATTCGTGAACACGGCTTTGAGCCACACTTTAAGTGTGAGTCAGAGAAACTACCCAGTTGCCCAAACCAAAATGAAAGGCGAGGAGTTCGAAGCCACAACATAGTGGCTGGAAGTTGAACGACTTAACCACTGAGAGTGGACACCACTTTGACATCATGCAAAGCTGTGAACAGTGAAACCTCCAGAGAACAATAATGAGCCCTTTATCCTTTTACTATAACGTAAACGCTCTACTCAAAATGGCACCAGTTCAAAAAGCAATAAACTATCCCATGTTTTAAATTATTTATTTTCTGTTACGCTTATCTTACCAAAAGCTTAGATCCAAACCCACAGTTAACGCTTTTAGAGATATTTGTAAAATGGTTGTTTATACGTCGGTTACCTCAACAATCACTAGCTGAAGTTTGATTTTGGTTCACATTTATGTATTTATAATTAGCTTAATTGCTGTTTCAGCATCAGGAATTTCAAGGTTGCAAATCAATTTATCAGAACTAGCAAATTCAAGTGGATGTTTTGACGGCAACCTACTATCAATTAGTCAACAATGTGCATTAGTACAATGTATCACAAAACCAGCATATTTAAACCTAAAAAATGAGCCACCAGTGCTGGACCTTGTCTCCACTCATCATTATTTATTTGAACACATAAACATTGGTAAAAGGAGGCACCAAATACATATGCGCCACACAATAACAATGAGGCCAGTAGCAGTTATCATTAATTTGTGTGAGGACTGTGATACTACCCGAGTGCCTAGATCAGAGCCGGTAGTTTGCTTAAGGGGTCACACTCGGAATTTTTGACCTACAGATCTAATCTACAAGGTAGTGGAGCAACGTCAGGAGATGCAGTCTCACAGAAGCCGGTCATCAACGATTGGTTCATACGCCATTTGTTTCCTCAGAATCCTGGAGCCCATATGCACTGTTGGTTTGGAATCAGGGTTTTCCAACTCCCCTAGATCAATCTTCTATATCCACCAACCAAGTTAAGGTGCCGAACATTCGCTTTTCGTCCTCTCAAGTTCGCAAACAACACATTCACGGGAAGGTAGTGAGTGGGACTTCCCTGTCAATCGCTCTATAAGCGTGGTCATGTGAGAGCATTTCGAGGGGGTGAGCTGACTCTCCTTACCCTCGGCCGTACCACGGCATTTAGGGGCCCACTCACCATTATGGTGTAATTAAAATTTACCTCCTGTCCTCAGTGGAGAACAGTGGTGGGATTGCATTGTATTTTAGGTTTAAAAAACAGTATACATATGAATCTGTTCTACCCCGTCCCAATATCTGGTGGGCAAACATCCAAAGGATCAGAGATTGTGCTATCTCAAAAAATTGGTTAATCAGTATAGATAATTTGATTGAACATGAAGAGGTAAGTTTAAAGCCATACTATAAGATGTGGCAAAATCATTTACCACATCTTAAACTCCATATAAGCTATTGCATCTACCTCCATGGATTGATAAGGAAATCCAATAGTTACTGTGGCGTAGAAAACACTTTTGTGACTCATTTTTAACAAGAGGGTGGCGAATCACTTAAGTGTGGGTACCGAAAGATCTCGAGTATGTGTAAAACGACTATCTCTAGAACTCTCACTCCTTATGAAAGGCAGTAGGGACAAGGTAGCCGTACTAGTGCGAAACATTCTTCTGTAGTGTTAGTCATTAGTTTTAGCCCATAATATATCTTGTTCTAGTTTTCGGACATTCCATTCTATTCATTCTACTTGAGTCATATCTTGACCTTGTCAATTATTCGCTTGTCAGTCTTGACTGTTTTTATATGAGCGTATATGTGTGTGCACTTCTTATTCCATTAATCACATGTCTGTATCTTCATTTTGTCTGACTATAAATATTGAGTAACGCTTGACTAAAATGGAGTTGGCTTCCCAGCCATCTCCCCTGCTCATCCTTTTTGCTTTGTTCTATCGCATTCACTTTACATACAAAATATATGTATTCAATTGCCATTCTCGTTAATTGACTTATCTAAATCCGTTATTGACTAACGCGATTCAAGTCGATGGTTATATACGAGGATAGGTGACATTTAATATTAATACGATCTAATTGGAGTCAGATCAATGGGCCGCAACACTTCCTCACATATTGACAGGAGGACAAAGCAGTGACAGGATTCATCTATTACAGTTGCACGAGAATGAAGACACACTAACTGAACCAGATATGATCACAGTTAGTTTATCAAACTGTTTCAATGAGGACTACTCCGAAGATAGTTATCAATACTTCTTATATCCTCAATGTTGAGGCAACTAAAGGGCCGTTGCTTGTAACTAAGATAGTCGTTTTTACTTAGTAGCCTTAAAACTGACAAGTCCCCAGACCTTGACAGGTTATATTTATGATTGGTATCATCCCTCCGGGACACGACTTCAGAACCCTGTATTTAAGTGTGGAAAGCAACAGATTGTGTTTAACTACTGACCTGTTAGTATAACTAGTAGGGTAGCCAATGTATTTGAAAAAAAATCGGGCGAAGTTATTAAACCATGTAGTATCACACATTTTAACACCTGATAAACTCGTGCTTTAGAAAACTCATGCTTAATTAACTTACAAAGTCTGAGAAAGGGTTCGACAGCAGCCCAAGATAGTGGTTCATCTGTCGATATGATATTTATGGATTTTGGAAAGACATTGGATAAGGTATTTCAGTTAGGTCTTATGAAGCTCTCCCAATTTTAAGGAAAACTTCACTAGTTTTTGGGGAGCACCATTGAGAAATCTTGAGGGAATGAGACTAAAACCCCTAGAATTTCCCCTGGTTCTGGAAATATCATGAAGTTTCCCCAGATTTTGAAGCTTCTTGAGAGTTCTCGGTATTTGAATCCTAATTGGGGTTTAAAAACCGAGGACAAATAAACTCAGAGTGCGATTCCGTCTTTAAAAAGACGAAGACTTCATTGTTTGTTTGTGTGTGGCCAACTGCTAGAACACCCCAACCGGATACATGCCATCAGTACACCAGTGAACACTTTCAAAAACAACTAGATTTCCAATAGAATAAATGCTGCAAGGATTAACCCGCGTCAACAGACCTCCCAACTTTGGGGAAAAACTCCGTTTTGGGGTTTTTGTGCTATTCCCCCAAAGCTTACCATAGCGGTTTCCCCAAAATTTCCAAAAAATGGGTCAAATTTCCCCCAAAATTGGGAGCTTGGGATTTGCAGACCATGGTCAAGACCAGACCTCGAGGTCGGAAAATTGAAAAGATCCGGTTTGGTAAGCACAGTAGGATAGGTGGCTTACATTGGTCTTAGCGATGGTGGTCTGTCAGTTGATCTAGATTTCTGCTGAAACTGTAGACAGATGGAGCTTTGATCATGTGCTGAGATAATGGATTCCATTCGTTTATGATTCAGTGAGAGATGAATGGAATGCTAACAAATTATCCAGCTCTACAAACAACCAACAAGCATCGGAACCCGATTTACACATATTGATGCATATAATGAGCAATTTCCAAAGCAAATGTTTTAGCCAGCTTACCTTCGGCACAGTAGATAACTCAAATCCCCCTCCTTGCCTCCGTGACCTTGAGTTCCCGATAAACGGCGGTTATTCCGTATATGAAGGGCGTGTTCTGATTTTCAAGGTCGTTGTGGTCGACAGGTAATTACGATTCGAGTGTACTCATAATGTGTGCGGGATTTACCTCCGAAGTTATTAAATGTGTGTAGAATTCACGTATTGAGTCAGACTTCAGCTTATGTTTTTGTTCTCCTGTATTTTATTGCAGGTTTATTTTTCAATCACTGCTGTCCTAACAATACCGTACTCATCAACAATTGAATATCACTTTTCAAGATGGAAAAGATCAGAATTCTCTTTGCTGTATATGTCATTACTGTGGTTCTCATCTGTCCTTACACAAAAGTTGAGGAAAGCTTCGGCATGCAAGCCTTACACGACTTGCTGTATTTGCGAACTAACATAACTATGGTGTGTTTACAAGATATTGTTCTACGTTGAAACTACAGTACGATCATAACTATTTTCCAGGTGTTGTACCGAGGTCGTTCCTGGGTTGCCTGTCTGTTGCCTGGATTGTATCGCCGCTAGTCTCCGTAAACACTTTGTTAGGAATGCAGAAGTTCATTTCTCAGTACATTGGTAGTACATATTGCTAACCTTATTGCTTAGTTAGAATGTGCTTAGGATTAATAATGGCCCTGAGTTTGATCAATTTCTCACATTGCGTGAAGAAAGTCTTCGGTAAACATGTATGCATACGTCTTCTTATAATCTGCTGCAGTCAGTTCCACTTGGCGTTTTATGCCTCACGAACGCTACCGAACACATATGCTTTCATACTTGGTACGTTTTATTGTTAAATTTGTCTCATTCATATGTCTAAGACAAGTGTGGAGAATTATTTCTTTTCAGTTAGTTCCTCATCAAGACTACACTGTGTAAGTTTTATGATTAAGAATAAAATCAATAATAAATAAGTGGTCGTCGGTCAGTTTAAGAATGTGCCGGTATTTTCTCTAGAAACGCCAATCATTTAAAAACACAATTAATGGAAAATTAAATCTAAAGTTAAGATTACTAACTACGTGAACCTTAGGTTTGATTTTGCATCTGTTGAGTTTTTATATAATTGTTGCTTCTAGGGAAAGTACTGATACATTTTCAGATCGACCAACGACCATTTATTTTATATTGTTTTCATTCTTAAGTATAAAGCATATGTTAATGTAGAGTCTTAGCAAGGAACTAATAGAAAAGAAATATTCTTCCGCTCAACGCGTTTTTAAGTTCATTTTTCTTAAAAACAATTCACCGTAATCAAAGCAGGAAGCATTTCCTATACAATACGCATGCCTAATAAGTCTTTTCGCATGTTAACCTAGGTATTAGTCAGTGTGCAACCAACTCTGTAGTTTAGCCATCTTACAAAATCACTCCTGCTAATGGATTTTAGCTGTAGCCCAATCGATTAGCCGTACAAGTCATCCCTCTCTGTGCTATTTCATTTATTTGATACATAAGTTTTGGTACAAATGACCAAAACAAATATGCACCACATAATAAGGAAATAAGACTAAAGAAGTTATAAAATGGAGGGTGAGTATAATCAAAAGCGACAAATTGCTGAAAATAAGTAAACGAGACTTATATATAGTGAGAGGAGCTGTTCAGTAGAGAAAAATACAATCATAAAGGATTCTTTTG